AGATAAACATCTGCTGTTTTAATGGTATTTTGAACTGCAGAGTTACCGTCTAACAACCCTTTATTCTTTTCTTTTTTATAACTGAGTGGGTGGGGAAATGGGAAAGAATTCTGAAGAACCAATCGCCTCACCTGTCTTCTCTCTGCTTCATCCTTTGCAGAGGAGTTCCTGCACCACGCATGCCTTCCTTGTGCAGTTCGTGTAAGAATCCAAAGAAAGAAGAGATGGAGGAGCACCTCAGTCAAACCCTGCACCCATGTAAGGGACTACAGAACGGCAGGAGGCTTACCCCCTTGTTGCCTCATCACTTTTCAAATGTGTTCCGTGTTTAGGCCTTTAAAATGTGACGTCAACTTTTTGTTTGTTACTGGTCTTCTGTTCATTTCATCAATAACACGAATTTAATAAATGTTTACAAAATTAAATGTATTAGCCATTTATTCATTTAACCAGGAATTCCTGAGCACTCCTTGTAGACCGTGCCCTGGGAATACAGTGATGAGTGAGAGGGTCCATTATAGCGTCCACTGCCATGGAACTGACTTTCTGCTGGGAGAAACAGACACTGAAAGAGGCATAGGGCAGATGGCAGTGACTGCTGTGGTCAGGGAAGGTCTCGTGGAGGAGGTGGTAGTTGAGCTGAGTCCTGAAGGAGGAGAACAGACCATGTAGGAAGGAGCTGAGGAAGAACCCAGCAGGCAGAGCTTAGCAAGGGTGAAGGTCTGGAAGATGGGAATGAAAAGACACCGATGTGACAGGAGGGTGGTGGTGACGGGAGAGCAAAGTGTGAGGCATCTGGACCAGACTGGGCCACATTTCCAAATGGAAACAAGGCTCATTCCTGTGACTATATCGCAAATGGAGCACTCCTGTCTGTGATGAGGAAGGGCTGGGTGAAGGCCCACATTCTTTTCTCTAAGTGAGTGAGCCCTGGGGGTACATTGGTACATGGAAAGGGTAAGTAACCTGCCCAAGGAGCACCAGTGGCCATGGATCCCTTGATCCTCAGCCAGCTCCTGGGGGTGGCAGGGAAGATGAGTGATCCAAGGCCTGCTGGTCGAGCCAAGACTTAGGTTGTTAAGTCCATTCACTCACTTTTCTCCTAACTTCAATATGTGGGACTTTTCCTAGTAAACCAGAGCCTGCCTGAGATGTCTTTGCTGCAGTTACGTGTTTACACTGAGAGAAAATCTTTGGTTCACTGGATCAGCGAGCTCACTCCATAGAAAGCCCTGGGAAATGACAGACCTCCACCACTTCGGATGATCTGGCAGTCTCTGCCCAGGACTCTGGCTCCCTTCCCTCTACAGATGCCTGAGCTGAATAACCAGATGAGGAAAGAGAGAAGAGACACCTGAGCCACCAATGCCTAGTTCTACCCTTCCCCAGGCTGAAAGATAATAGATGATGTCTTCAGAAAATGAGGAGTGGGGTGTGGGAACTCAACAAGGGGTGGCCAACTTTTTCCATAAAGGGCCAGATAATAAATGTTTAGGCTTTGTGGGCTGCATACGTTCTCTGCCTCACATGCTTCTTTGTTTTTATTTGTTAATTATTTCTTTATAAACTTTAACCCTTAAAGGGGTTAAACTTTAACCCTTTAAACCAGGCGTCCCCTAACTACGGCCCGAGGGCCGCATGCGGCCCCCTGAGGCCATTTATCCAGCCCCCCACCGCACTTCAGGAAGGGGCACCTCTTTCATTGGTGGTCAGTGAGAAGAGCACAGTATGTGGTGGCCCTCCAATGGTCTGAGGGACAGTGAACTGGCCCCCTGTGTAAAAAGTTTGGGGACGCCTGCTTTAAACACTTAAAAAGGTAAACATTGTTCTTAGCTTGAAGACCTTGCCCTCAGCCTGAAAAGTGGATTATAGTTTGTTGACCCCTAACCTACGCTGCTTTGCCCTGATGAATTTCAAACCTGAGGCTACTTAAGCCAAGTTAGGGAAGGAGGAGCTGTTTCTTTTTCTTTTAATCTCACTGGGACTGCCCTGAGGCAGGTTTATCTCTGACAACCTGGGCTCAACAGCCCCAAATCCCCGTTCCCACACCATCATCCTCATTTACAGTCAAGAAATGGAAGCTGGGAGAGGCCAAGCAATCCCCACAAGGCCATGCAGCTAACAAATGATAGAGGCAGGACTTGAACCCAGGCATTCTGATTCCAGAGTCACCAGTCTTAACCACTGCACTATACCATCCCCTGCTAGAAGCTAGAGCTGTGACTTTCTCTTTTTGGGTAAAGCCCTCATCTGTACAACAGGAGGGGTGGGGTGGTGTTTTCCTCAATGTGAGAAGCATACCCGATAGCAGGTGAAATGATTTCCATGGTTCACACACAGAGCATCAAATAATGTTGATTCATGGAATGGAAAGATGATTGCCTTTTCACATCTCTCTCTTTTTTATTTTTATTTTTTGAGATGGAATCTCACTTTCTCACCGGGTCTGGAGTGCAGTGGCACGATCTTGGCTCGCTGCAATCTCCGCCGCCTCCCCTCTCTCCGGGTTCAAACAATTCTCCTGCCTCAGCCTCCTGAGTGGCTGGGATTACAGGCGCCTGCCATTATGCCTGGCTAAGTTTTGTATTTTTAGTAGAGATAGGGTTTTATCATATTGGCCAGGCTGATCTTGACCGCCTGACCTCATGATCCACCTGCTTCAGCCTCCCAAAGTGCTGGGATTACAGGTATGAGCCACCACACCTGGCTTTCACATCTCTTTCAAGGCTTCCAATAACGGCAGGGAAGAAGGTTGAGTCCGGTGTTAATGTATCTTTAAAATCTCTTCAAAGCTGCTAATCTTTTCTTTTTTTAAAACAAGAACAGGTTTTACAACTCAGGGTCTTCTTCAGTAGGCAGTAATAGCTAGCTAGAATTTTAGTATCATTGCTGTACTACTATTGTTACTTCTATTATTAGTTTCATGGTTTTATTTTTTATTGCCTTTTCGATGATTTGCTACTTATGAAAAAAGTTAGTGTTGCCATTGCTGTTTCTCTTGTCCATTTTTCATAGTTACAAGATTGCTGCTGAAGCGCCTGCCATCATACACAAATTGAAATTAAGGGGAAAGACAGGGTTCAGCCACTTTTGTCTCCTATTGCCAGGAAAGCAAAATATTTTACATACTTTGCATTGATGGAAACTTGCTGCATAGCAGCAAAAGAGGTTGAAAAAGTGGGTGTTTGGCTGGATACATTGCTACCCCAAACTCATTAGAATTCTATCATCAAGAAAAAGGGATTCATCCCATACTCTACAACAAAAGTGTTTGCCGTAGGCTGGGAATTCTTTGAGTTTTCTCTTAAGTGTCTGCAAAGAGCAGGCATGGAAGTCAGAGATGTGGAATGGCTTAAGGGAGTTCAGCAAAAAAAAAAAAAACAATTACTCTTTACCTTGTTTACCACCCACACACTCCTTTCCCCATGGTGGAATAGAACACTGATGATCCATCATCATTCCTAAGAAATGATACACAATGAGAAAAACAGTATTGCCATACTCTTACAGTGGTGGCAAGGAAATCTTATGAGTTTGTTCCCATTGGCTACTATGGCTTAAAGTGCTAAGTTAAAGAACCCCTCACCTTTTCAGTCTACTGTGTAGAAGCTATATTTACTTACCTCACATGCCTCCAAATATACACACTAGAAATCAGATTTGAAATATTATAAATCCCAGAAATAGGAAGTTTCTATTTCAAGAACTACTTTTCAAATTAGTGTTTTAATTCAACAAACATTTAGTGAGTTCCCACAGTACCCTAGGCACCTTCTTAAGTGTTGAGAATATAGGGGTGAATTGGACCCATAAGGCCCTAGAGCACATATCCTGGTGGGAGAGGCAGATAAAAGATCTGAAGAAAAACAGGAGCTCAGGAGGATTAAGAGCTGAACTCAGGAGCCCAACTTCTGGGCTTGAATACAAATTCTGCAGCTTCCTGGCTCTGTGGTTTTGGGCAAATTACTTGCCTCTCTATGCCTCAGTTTCTCCATCTATAAGATAAGAATAATTATAGTACTTCATAAAGCTACAGTGAGACTTTTTTGATGCATAGTGATTAAACACAGCTATACTGAAGGGTGAGGAAGCTAAGATGTAGACAATATTTTAAATGGTAAAAAACAGGGATGACGAATTACTACCCACCTCGTTTGGTGGTTGAGTGTATTACATGGCTTAATGCACATAAAGGGCTTAGAATCGTTGCTAGTATGTAGTAAGTGCTCAGTAAATGTTAGCTACTATAGTATTTCAAGTACTGGGTTTTTACTTGATGTCATACAGTGTTATACAAGGTCTCTAAAGATACTAAGGAGTCCTCAAGGCCAATCTAAACAAGCATGGGTGCCACATTCTTGTGCTTATAGTTGAAGATTTCTACATTCAGACACTCGCATAAAGGGATACTTCTAAGATGCACCTGCACTGGGTAGTGAATTTGGTCCTGGGTAGGAAAACCATTGAGATTTGGGAATAAAGGATAGTAAGACTGAGATCGTAATTACTAAAGGGAAACCCCAACAGTGAGAAGTGGAGGCGTGCAATATCATGCATTTCCCCCCAACCCACTCCCTCTCCCCAGGCCCCGCTTCCTTAGAACACCCGTGATTGGCTATATTATATCAGCGTTTCCCATAATGCAAAAAGGGAAAATACAGACCTGGGCTTTCATGGAAAGTATTCTAACTCTCACAACCAGAATACCTGTCTTTAAATGTTTTTGGAGGGAGGGTTTAGATCTTTAACTTTTCCTTCAGCATTTCATTACTCCACTTTGTGAAAATCATCTGTTCTGAGCAATAACATTTCCGGCACAGCGTCATCATTGTCAAGTGACTCAGTTTGATTTTTTTGTTTGTTAATATCAGGTGGCCCCAACTTACGGAGAAAAAGTGGGCTCTTGGCATCAGAAAAAGTATCAGTTTGATGTCAGGGTTTTTCCATGTTTGAGAGGGAGCTTTAAATATCACTCAATTTGAAGGTGTCTGCAGGCGTGCTCCGGTCCTCTGTCAAGATGCTTCTGGCCACGGTCCTTACTTCTGCGCTGCTCCTCTGCTCCGTGGCCAGCCAGGGGTGTCCAACGTCAGTGGGCATCAGGGATATCAACTACCTTATCGACAAGATGCAGGTAGGCTGCAGGGGGCGCCCGTGGGAAAGATGGGTACTGACAAAGCGAAGTATGTGTGAAGATGAAAAAACTCAGGGCTGACTAGTGGTTCTTATCTCTCTATCTACTTTAGGAAGATCCATCTTCGAAGTGCAACTGCAGAGCTAATGTGAGTGAATGCTCTTTAAGAAATTTCCAAATTAATTTTAATTTTCCCATCTGGAATCTTCACTCTGAAATTTCTCTTGCAGGTGACCAGTTGTCTCTGCCTGCCCATTCCTTCTGTAAGTACAGTGAAAGAATATAATTTTGACCTTGGGTTTTTTAGGTTTGTTTTTACATAAAAGTAAGTTGCTTTATTTACTATTTAATGTTATAAATTGTGGTTTAATTCAATTGTTACAGATTAGTATTTCCTCTTAAAATCACATTGTTACAAATTATTCCCTTTTGAAACTATTGAAATCTTATATTATGAACTTTTTTTTTTGTATTTAGTTAACTTTATGCCTCTTGGGAAGTTTAAACAATTCTCAACATTAAAAAAAAGAATCTTGAGGTGGGGCGCGGTGGCTCAAGCCTGTAATCCCAGCACTTTGGGAGGCTGAGGCTAGTGGATCACGAGGTTAAGAGCTCGAGACCATCCTGGCCAACATGGTGAAACCCAATCTCTACTAAAAATACAAAAATTAGCTGGGTGTGGTGGCGTGCGCCTGTAGTCCCAGCTACTCGGGAGGCTGAGGCAGGAAAATTGCTTGAACCCGGCAGGCAGAGGTTGCAGTGAGCGGAGATTGTGCCACTGCACTCCAGCCTGACGCCTGGAGACAAAATGAGACTCTGTCTCCAAAAAAAAAAAAAAAAAAAAAAAAAAAAAAAGAATCTTGAATATCTTTTTAGATAGATGGCCATGTGCATGATTAAATGAAGCTCAGCTAAGGATATAATAATTGCTATATAGCTCATATTGTATTGCTGCCTAACTTATTTGCTGATAACTTTTGGGTTGTGAAACAATGTAAGTAAAATGATACCTTCTTCTCTCTCATTGGGCATGAATTATCTCTGCACTATGCCTCCCCCTTCCTGCCTCCTCCCTTCCTCCCTACCTCCCTGTTGTCTGTCTACCTGATGAGGGTGGCTGTTGGTTCGAATGCTTCCCTCTAGACAGATAGAGGATCTGAGGTCGTGGGTGGAAGGAGGACTGCCAGAGGGCCACTGCCAACACTCTGGCAGAAAGGACGGGTGGCAGGAAAGTTCTGATTCCTGATTCAAACTCCTGATTAGGGTGAGGAGGAGGCGCTTCACCAAGGTGCAGTGCCTTTTTCTTTCTCATGCAAGGCCTGGGAGAATCTGAGCTTCTTGCCCCAGTTACAGTGAGATATCGCACCCATCGAGGTCCATCCATTAGACAAGAGACTAGAGTGCCTTCTGGGGAGGAACCAGGCAGACAGCATGGCCCCTGCCCCTTGACATACAGTCCACGTTTCTAGCTGCTGCTGAAATACCAGCTGCATTCAACTGTCACATCCCATTAGCTGGTGTGGAAAGGCTTTTCCTCACTCTGCACTTTCAAACTTAGAAGGCTTGAAGCACCTGGTGAAAAGAATACTCACAGCTATTTCAGGGCCCACAGCCCTCATGTTTCCTGGATGGAACATATTGGAAATCTCCTCCAGGGGGTGTCACTGTAGAAAGATGGCATCTCTTTAACTATTGAAGAACACTTCCTACACTGGCAATGGACCTATCTAAAAATAATGCAAGTTTCAGTTACACTGATTAAATCACAAGCATCTCTATTACATAGCTCTTTGTGATATATTTTCAAAGTTGTCCTCAGACTGTTTCTTTTAATAAATTCTTCCTATTTACCAGGACAACTGCACCAGACCATGCTTCAAGGAGGGACTGTTTCAGATGACCAATACCACAGTGCAAACAAGATACTCACTGATTTTCAGTCGGGTGAAAAAATCAGTTGAAGTACTAGAGAACAAGAAGTGTCCAGTAAGTTTGTTTTTTACATGTAATACGTTCTGGTTGGTGATTTCTATGTGAATTGTGATGCCAGCCCTGTTTGAATGCAAAAGGATGATAAAGTTGGAGTTGATAGTTCAAGGTTGATGAAGGAGATCTAAGAAATTTAATCAGAAGTAATAGAATTAAAGTGAGATTCAATGAAACAATAGAATGAAAGTGAGATAGACCATTGTTCCCCCTAGTTTTAAAAACACACCGATGGGGCCTTTTCTTCTCTCCACTTATGGAATAATGAAAGAACCCTTTCTGAGTATAATTAGAAGCTACAATCTGGAGAATCAGGGATGTAGTTCACATAATACTAAATTATCCTAGAGATTCAATTTACTAACTGAATGGGTGTTGCTAAAAGAGATTTTTTTTTTTCCTGTTGTTTAAGGAAGGTTGTTTTTTTTTTGTTTGTTTGTTTGTTTTGACAATCTCACTCTGTTGCCCAGGCTGGAATGCAGTGGTATAATTTTGGCTCACTGCAGCCTCCAACTCCTGGGTTCAAGTGCTTCTCTTGTCTCAGCCTCCCGAGTAGCTGGGATTACAGGTGTGTGTCACCATGCCTGGCTGATTTTTCTATTTTTAGTAGACTAGGTTTCACCATGTTGGTGTGGCTGCTCTTGAACTCCTGACTTCAAGTGATCTGCCTGCCTCAGCCCCCCAAAGTGCTGGGATTACAGGCATGAGCCACCACTCCCTGACCTGGATTAAGAGGGTATTTAAGGTCAATGCACCCAGGTCAAGGTGGAAGCTTGCCACTCGTCCTGAATGCCCCCATCCACAGATTCTCTTCTTCAGCATATACCTTAATCCCTAACAGCAGAGTGGGGTGGTGGGTTGGATGGGGTGACCTCCCTGCCTCTTTTGGCTGTTAGCATCTCCATGCAAGATCATAGAAGGCTGAAAGCCCTGTGCTCAGATGTTTAGCTGCACGTGTTTCTACCATCAACAGCATTTAGTTCTAAGTGCTTTATATATGCTGTCTCACTGAATAAATACATACCTTAGGGACAATTATTCAATTTATCACTCTCATTGAGGTCAACTAATTTGCCTAAGGCTGCATATTTAATAAGTGGCAGAGCTGAGATTTGAACTGAGGTCTATGTGACCTCAGAGCCCCATTCTTAGCCATTGTGCTGTCAAATGACCTTGGAAAGACAACCTAAAAGGATAATGATACTATTTTAGGCCTCAAAGAGTTCCCAGAAAAGACTTTCTCTAATGGGGAGATTTAGGGCCACTTGATAGGGTGTGTGTGTGTGTATGTGTGTGTGTGTGTGTGTGTGTAAAGACCCCTGAAATCCAACTTGAAGTCAACCACCTGTGCTGTCTTTACACCACGTGAGCTGCCTGGACCTGACCACCTGTTTGTTCTTGGTCTCAAGCCCCTTCCCTGCCCATCCCCACACTCCTTCAAGCCTGACTCTGGCTCTCGGCAGGTTGGCTCCAGGGCTGCTGGGCTCTACATCACTCTGTCCTTATCAACTTTCATCCCCACAGTATTTCTCCTGTGAACAGCCATGCAACCAAACCGTGGCAGGCAACGTGCTGACATTTCTGAAGAGTCTCCTGGAAGTTTTCCAGAAAGAAAAGATGAGAGGAATGGGAGGCAAAATATGAAGATGAAATATTATTTATTCTATTTATTAACTTTAAAAAGCTTTCTCTTTAAGTTGCTACGATTGAAAAGTCTAGTAAGCCAAGTCAAAATCAGTTGCAATCATTTGTTTAAAATGGTGTATCTTTGTTTTGAAATAAATGTATATGGGGGAAACAAATGAGCTGGTCTCTAGGCAATTACTCATTTCTTGCTGCTCAGAGCAAAGAAAGCTACAAGCATTGTTAAGGGGAAAAATAGATCAGAGACTCCTGTAGTAGTAAGAGTTCCGATGCTGAACACAGCCCTCAGGCTCACAGGTTGTGGCTGTGGCTGCAAGGGGCTGCAGGGAGCAGTTACTAAGGGTGTCTATGGGGACCATCTGAGGGGAGGCTGAAGGCATGTCTGAGGGAGGGAGGCAGGGGGCCCTGCCAAGAGGGCTAGGGTCCTGCGAAACTGGCCGTGCACCTAAAATAGGAGGCGGCGGCAATTTGCTGGTGGGAGACTGCTCAAGAATGTGGGCATGCAGAATAAATGCTTAATAATTAAGTGCTTCGGCTGGGCGCAGTGGCTCACGCCTATAATCCCAGCACTTTGGGAGGCCGAGACGGGTGGATCACGAGGTCAAGAGATCGAGACCATCTTGGTCAACATGGCGAAACCCCGTCTCTACTAAAAATACAAAAATTAGCTGGGCATGGTGACGCACGCCTATAGTCCCAGCTTCTAGGAAGCTGAGGCAGGAGAATTGTCTGAACCCAGGAGGCGGAGGTTGCGGTGAGCCAAGATCGCGCCATTGCACTCCAGCCTGGGTAAAGAGTGAAACTCTGTCTCAAAAAAAAAAAAAAAAAAAAAACCAATAATAATAATAATAATAATAATTACGTGCTTCACTCACTAGTTCAGGTAGGAAGTAGATATTATTATTACAGCGTTTCTGTTCTATAGATACTGAAACCAAAGCTTAAAAAGTCTGAATGGCATTACCAAGATCCCCCAGCTGGAGAGCTTTAGCGCAAGATCCACCCCTAGCGCTCTCTGCTTCTAAACCCTTTGCTGTGTAAGTTCTGCCCCTGCTTATTCTCTTTATACCCAGGGTGGACATTGTGCTTCTTCCGACCACAGCCTGAGGGTAAAACAGACCCATCACAATTCCAGGCCACACTCTCATCTCCAGAAACTTAGGGAATCTGACAGGTTTCAGAATTCAAGCTTTTTAGCCTTTTACAAAGTTGAAACGATCCATGCGCCATGTATTACATAACACCCAAAGCAGGGCCTGGGGCAAGATTCCATGATTAATTAAACATATCAATCCTGTAGCAATCACCTAAATGGTCAAGTTTTGCAGCCAAATGAGTCCTTGAGTTTTCAGAGCTATTTAGATTTCAGAATCATGATAAGAAATTAGTAAGCTGCATTAACAAAACAGCCTATGTCTAGCTCATGCACTACTTAGGAAGGGAGCGAGGCACTCTCCCCAAGACTTCTTATCTGGGGCTGGGCTGAGTGTCTCCAGGAAGGACAGAGGTTTCTGTAGCTATCTGGACAGCAGCCCCATGGAATTCCAGACAGCAGCTACAGGGCCTTCTCTCCTCCTCTCCTCCATGTTAGTTTTCTGAATGACTGGCCCCAGACATAGTTGCATCATGTGACACTGTGTGGTTTACCACCTGCAGCACGGGGAGACACCCATCTCAGCAATGCTTGCCCCAAGCAGGATCACAGCAGGGACAGATGCTGGTGTCTGGTGATGGTTTCAGAATACAATTCGGAAATGTGGTGTGTTGCCAGAGGAGATGGGCAGAGATGAGCTTCCACTCACTGCTGCAGATTAATCACCAGAGTAGCTTGGTGCTGTCCCTCCGCTTTTCTGCAAAAGTCACATAATCTGCAGTGTTCACTCCGGCAGACAAGCTCCAAGGAGGGTTTACTTACAGTGAAGTGTGCTATAATTATCATCTCTGTAGCAGGACAGTTGAGATTCATCAAGAAGCCGCCCTGGAGAAAGGAGAACCAACATTTAGTGTTTACTCTGTACCAGGCATTCTGCTGAGCCTATTTTGTAGACTATCTGGGTGGATCCTCACAGCAATGCCAGGAGATATTTGTATAACTGTTGTAGGTAATTTTTCCCACTGCAAAAATGAGATAACTAGGCTCAATGGGTTGCATAACTTGGCCAGAAGCTTGTTGCTCACAAGCGGCTAAGTTGCTACCCTCACCAGATTGCCAGGCCCCGGGCAGAGCTGTTTCCAGTAGATTCCAGGCCAAAGCACACACTGCTGGCCAAAGTCAAGCCAAGATGTGGCCAGCCATAAAGCTGGCTCGTCCATCTCTCCAACCCTCCCTCCCTCTGTCCATCCACTCAGTTCGAAGCAGGAAGACGCTGTGATGTCTCAACCTCACCATTCCTCTTCTCCCACTGCCACATTTCGTCACCCTGTTTCATTGACCCCAGACCAAGACCTCCCTTTCTCTGCAAAAGGAGGCCTCAGCAGAAACACAAAGAGGACCCAAAGGACTTTATTCTTTGTTTTTATCACCTTAAAAAGATGGCTTTAGCTAGGCACAGTGGCTCATGCCTGTAATCCCAGCACTTTGGGAGGCTGACACAGGCAGATCACCCGGGTCCAGGAGTTTGCGATCAGCCTGGCCAATATGGTGAAATCCAGTCTCCATGAAAAATACAAAAATTAGCCGGGCATGGTGACATGCAACTGTAGTCCCAGCCACTAGGAGGCTAAGATGGGAGGATCGCTCGAGCTAAGAGATCAAGGGTGCAGTGAGCCGTGATTGCACCACTACACTCCAGCCTGGGGGACAGAGCAAGACCCTGATTTAAAAAAAAAAAAAAAAAAAAAAAAAAAGGCTTTATTGAGATATGCTTCGTATACCATATACAATACAATTCATCCATTGAAAGTGTATAATTCAATGGATTTTAGTATATTGGCATGTTGTGCAAACATCACTCTTTATACTGTACCATATCATCTGTAAATAGAGGTAGTTTACTTCTCTTTTTCCAATTTGGATGTCTTTTCTTTCATTTTCTTGCCTAATTTCTAGCTAGAACCTCCAATACAATATTGAATAAAAGTTGGTGAGAGTAGACATTCTTGTTTTGTTCCTGATTTTAGTGGGGACGAATCCAGTCATTCACAATTAAATATTAATATGATGTGAGCTGTGGTCTTTTCATAAATGCTGATTGTTAGGTTGAGAAAATTCCCTTTTATTTTCAGTCTGTTAAGCACTTTTATCATGAATAAGATTGGATTTTGTCAGAATCTGCTCTTAGTGGTACAGAGGCTATTCTTGGCTTTAGAATTTCTAACGGTAACTGTCCTAGCCCCGGGATAGGAAGTAACTCCTTGGGGTATGGAAGAGAAGTCAGAGAGGAGAGGATGGTGGCAGACATGGTTGAGTTCCCTAGAGAAGGGCTCTTTGCCTGACCCCCAGCAGAGCCTCGGGGTAGGGTGCAGAGCTCCAGAGGATGGTAGAAAACCGAGAGTGAAGGATACATGAGCCATGTGCCCTGAATGCCCCAGGAGATGGCATGAAAAGAGAATGCCTCTTGCCACCATACATAAGGTGGGGTATAGGGAGGCTCACCCACAGGCCCTAGGAAGGTGGGCTTGATGCAGCCCCCCGAATAGTTCCAATGGAGAAACCAAAGATGTTCATACAGGGCAGAAAGGAGCACTGATGTGTCTTGGAGGGTGATAAGGCTGGAGAGGCCTTGGGATGGGTATATATGTGGGCCACGCGTCAGGGAGCAAATGGAACTGAATCCACCCTGGAGGGAAAGCCATGCCCAGGACTAGCCAGGAAGAACACCAAGGTAGGACAAAGCATCTCCCGGGAACCTGAAGCCTCTCCCTAAATCCCAAATCCCCCACCCCCCGGATTTAAAGACAACCCCAGGGGAAGGTGGAGAAGGAAAAAGTCTTGAACTGAGCATTTAACTTGGCCTTTCTAAGTTTTACCCTGAAATAGCAAAATTATTTTTTTCTGTTTTCAGCTCGAAAAAAACTTTCAGTTGATTTAACAAAAAATAAAGAAAGCTTTATTTATTTGCTGCAGACCTGAAGATGTGATTCAATCACTCAACAGACACTAGTAAGTGCGCAGTGAGGAGCAGGCGCTGGGCTCAGTGTGCGGTGAGGGAGGCGCTCCGCTGTCCTCAGGATCCACGGGTGCAGGAGAAACCTGGTCGGTAAGGAGAAAAGAGGAGAGGCACAGGGATGTGGGACTTGAGACTTGAGGGCGTGGCTCACTGGCCCCTCCCCAGGCCCAGCCAGAGGAGCGAAGCAACATCTCTCTGGATGGTTTCTGGCTCCCTGGTGTTCATGGTCTGGACTTCTCTGCTGCACCAAACATTGCTTGGAAACCTCTTTGATACCAGCCTAGCAGAGTGGGCATTGGGGGTCAGAACCTTGGAAGGCTTGAATCAATGATTCATGAGGCATCTCAGGCATTAGAAGGGCCACGTCGGTGTCTGCACCCTCCTAGCCCATGCTTGCTAACTGGTGTCCACTCGGAGGTCCAAAGTCCAAACCTTTGCAGCTCTCAGGGTTTCACATGCAGAGATGAGGGAACACTGGAGTCACCCTGTGTTCACCTACTGGAAAAAGCAAACAACCCAGACTCAGAGAAGAGGGCAGGCAAAGAACAGAAAGCAGAAAAATCACACCGTGCCTCCCCTTCCTCCAGCCCCTGTGTTTTGCACGTTACGGTTTACAAAACCACTTTTGCACTTGATTCTTATGAAAGCTGTGCAAGTTAGGTAAGGGAGACCTTTTACAGAAGGCTCAGGGGCGCCAATGCCTGCAAGAGCACGCAGGTAGCCGATGGCCCACCTGTACCGGGCATCCAAGGAGAGGGTCTTCCTCCTGTGACGTTGTTTCCACCACAGAGAAAGAAAAGGGCAACACCACGGGAGATGGAGACACCCAGGAAACAGGAAGAGAAGTGTCACGGGCCCTGGTGCTCTCCCCTTAGGGCCAAGGTCTTGCACTCCCAGACGCGGACTCCTGCGGAGGGTTTGGTTGACCTCTGCTGCCACCGAGTGGCAGTTCTGCAGGGTATCAGCCTTTGGGTGAGGGATTTTTTTTTTTTTTTTTTTTCCTTTAGGGCAGCAGTTCTTAAAGGGAACCCACGAGGTCAAAACTATTTTCATAGACCACTAAGATGTTATCTGCTTTTTTCAATCTCATGTTCTCACAAGCGCACAATGGAGTTTCCCAAAGGCTACATTGCAAAAGATAACCCATAGACTAAAAGCAAAAGCAGACAGGGGAACAATTGCCCTCTGTTTAAGCCAGACTTAGCAAAAAGAGAAAACAATGCAAGTCTTCTCGTTAATTATGTTGGTTTAGAAAGAATCGTTATTTATATGGAATGTTATTTATGTAAAATGTCATGGGCTTATTATTATACCTAAATGGATAAATATTTTTGAAATTGCTTGAATTTCTGGTAAATGTTGGTATATATATATGCAGATGTTTTTTGGGGCACTTAATAATTTTTGGGAGTGAAAAGAAGCTGCTACTGAGAACTGCTGCTGTATATGGTAATGGTTTTTGTTCTTTTTATCATCCCTAGTAGGGCAAATTGGCCAACCCTGAAGCCCCCAACTCCAGGGCGCAGACACCAAAACTGGTGCTTGGCTTGGAATTCCGTCCTGTTTTCATCCTTCTTAAAAATAGAATTCCATTTGTTTAAAGACTTTCCTGATCATGACACAGAAATTAATGCCTGATACTAAGCTTCCTGAGGGCAGGCTCCCTGCCATTTTCACCCAATACCTAGCACAGCACTGGGCACTGTCAGGCTACACACACACACTCACACACATGTGCACACACACACACATACATGTATATATTTGGTTAAATAAAACCATAATGTGTTGATGGGGGAAAACTCCCAAGTTGTTGGCCCCAACTGTTCCACAAGATTACCCTCCAGAAAAATCGAAGAGGACTGCAGAGCTGTTGCTGGCTGACCTTCTGGCTACCACATGAGATTCGTTGGGGTTGGAGCCAGTTTCTTCACTAAGGCTGAGTTTCATTCATCGCAGCCCAGGTGCTCCTGCATGGGAGTGAGGGTGCAGAAGATGTGCTGAGGCAGTGTCTGCCCAGCATGGAGGAGGGTGGGGGTGGGGAGGGGTGGCAGGGGCTGTTATTTTCAGAGCCGGGCTGAGGCTGGGCAGCGAGGCAGAGCCAGCCTACGGCCTGAAAAACAAGTGCCCAGCAGGGAGCCCTAGCTCTGCAATAAGATGTGCTTTTATTTTAAGAAATTATAAAAACAATGTGTACATGCTGTAAAAAATCGAAACATTGTGGTAATCGCCATCATCAAATCACCATCACTATAGTTATGTACAAAGAAATCACCATCATCAAAGTGAGAACTAAAAGCCTTCTCTCAATCCTACATCCCAGAAATAGCCACTGTTAAATTCAGTGTGTACCCTTCCAGAGTTTTTCATTGCCCATGTAGTTACACATATACAATATATATTTTTAAATGAAAATGAATAACATCATATACTTTGTTCCACCCTTCCACTTCTGCACTTACAATGTTGCTGACATATTTCCATGACAATATATTTAAAGTCCACCTCATTCTTTTTAGTAGCTGCGTGATACTATTCTAGAGTATGGATGCATCTCAATTTGTTTAACCCCCTCTTCTATTGATAGGCATTCAGAAAGTTTCTGAATTTTCATTCTTACAAGCAATTCTCAATTAACATGGTCATGCTTGCATTTTTGCCCATTAATTTATGCTTCCTTTATTCTAAACCCTGTTCGTGCTTGCTGCTATGCCGAATCTAAGGCTTGGGACAACTCAGCCCTGGCTGTGAAGCTGGGCACAGGCCGGTGAGAAAGAGAGGGCACACAGACATGACTGTAGCACGGGGAGGGACACAGTGCCTGAGGGGTCCTGTTGCTGGAAGGGCCATGGATGCTGCTGGGAGAAGAGACAGAGAAAGAATCTAGGAAGCCCAAACACCTAAGGGCTTAAAGCATCTGAGCTGGACCAAAAACAGGGAGCATTCCTGTGTCTGGTGAAGCTGGGGGTGAGAGTGTCCTATAGGTTAAAGAAAAGCACAGAGGCAGGGAAGCCTAGAGGGCGCTGGGCAGACAGCAGCCGGCCCAGCAGGCTGGTTGGATCACTTTGGAATTCTTTCAGCAAATATTCAAATGCCCATTATATGCCTGGCACTGGACAGGATGAGGGAAATGATGGGAGCACAGGAAATCTAGACCAGAGCAATGAGAGGTGAGTCCGGAAGGGCAGTTCTGATGTGGCTCATAGGAGGCCTTAAATAGCAGTTTGAGACTCCACACCTATGTGCCCCGACAACTTTTATCTTTTTCACACCACGAAATAGCCATCATCTTGGCTGCTGGTGATGTTCCCTGGGCTGGACAGCAGGGGAGTGTAGCCTCAGGAAGATTATCAAATGTGATTTCTGGTAAAGTCCTGAGCTGGGGCTCAGTTATGTTGGAGCCTCAGTTTCTTCATCTGTAAACTGGATCAGCATGCTTCTCTCTGCTTACCTCCTCCTACTATCAAGAGGTGCCATGATGATTAATAGAAACTAGGAAAGGCTCAGACACCTGAAGAAGGTGGTGGTTGCATCTCAGCCTCATCAGGAGCATCCAGTAGAAGACCCCAGTTGGCCTTCTGGACACAGCACCACTGCTAAACAAACTGTGCAACCATGCCTAGCACCGGGAAATGGTCCGGTTGAGGCAGACTTAAGAAACACATTCTAGAATGTGTTAGAGCAGAGACTTCAGGTCTACCCAGGATGAACCAGGTGCCAGAAACATCTCTCCACTCACATCCTCTCTGCCCACCCAGGCCCATTGAGGCTGGGGCAGACAGGCAGGCTCGTCTCTCCAGTCAACAGAGCCTCTCCAATGCACCAGAGTGGGGTGCCACCGGAGTCCCTCGTGGCTGTTCCCACCACCTAGGTCAGCACTTGCTCAACAAATGTTTGATGACTGAACAAATGAATGAATGTCCCACTGCTGGAGGGTGGGCAGCTTGAACTGCAGCCTTACAGAGATGCCCAGAGGACCCTGCAGTCCTAGAGGCTGTGAAGAGAAAGATTGAGGAGGGCACGCTGACGGTTTTATTTCAAGCAGGGAACCCTCCGCTCCACAAACACGTTTTACACTGAAGAGACTGAACACTTTCAACTTGTTTGCACCACAGCATTGCTTTTGTCTTGGGTCTATTAAGGCAGAGAATTCTCAGACATGCCAAATCACTCAAAGGCAGGGGATGGTGGGGGAACAGGGTAGTGGAGAAACCAAGGAAGGCCTTTTCAAGGGAAAGAAAAAAGAACAAATCTGGGGACATTTCCTCCGCTGGGATTTAAGCCAGGGGTGGCAAATAGATTTATTTTGTATGACAGTTCCACACAGCTGGTGGTGGCTACCAGGGCACGGTGCTGAGAAGGACCCTGAGGCGCCATTCAGCTCATCAAGAAAGGGCTCTATGATTGGCTGAGAATGCTTGTTGTGGGCATAGAAGTGGGAGATGCTGCAGGGACTCAAGCCACGTAACAGCAAAATAATAATGGCCTCCCCACGTGGCTCTAGTAGGGGAATAAAATTTAGAACAATGAAGTCACTCTGGAAACCAGACTGCGGACCAAGTATTTTGTTTTTTTTTTAGTTCTCCATGCAAAAATAAGGCCAAGAGAGTGCCCACCCCAACCAAGCTCGGGGCCAGCCTCTCTGAAGCAAGTCACCAACACGTGTCACTGCTCAGGGTGGGAGTACCCACAGGTTTCTGTCCCTCATTGCCCTTCTCATCTGCTATGCCCTCCCCTGCTGACCTTAGGCATCTGAGAAAAAAGCAGCCAAGCTGCCCCGGTCAGTTTCTCTCCTCACCTGTGTGAAGGGGGTTTCCCTCTGGGCCTGTAATACCCACAGAGGCCTGAACAGAAAGAGGGATGACAGTGGCCAGGTGCCTCTCTTGGAAGCCAGGCAGAGGCATCTGCTGCAGAAACAATGTGAAAAGGTTTTTAATGCTTTTATTTGGAAACTTAGAGCCAACTCCAGCTCTTCTGTGAATTCCCAGTGAGTTTACAACAGTCATGGGGGCAGAGCCAATTTAATCCAGTTTTGTTTTGTTCTGGTCTGTTCATCTGTTATTACCCAGTGCAAATCCAAAACCAAAATAGTTGATCAGTTGACCAATGGTCAGTTGCATCCCTCCAAGGCAGGAGCTCCACTGCCCCAGCCAGGGTGAGGATCAGAGTGCTTGTGAAGGAAGGAGGAAGGGGTTCTGAGGGCAGCATGCTTGGCTGAAAGCCCACCTGGTGGGAAGTCCATCTATCTCTTCGGTAAATTCACATCATGGGTTCTGCAGACACTTTTGCATTGACCTGCTAATGGAATGAAGTCCCTGGGAAAAAGGAGGAAAGACAAGAATGTCATCTAACTGGAGTCTTGAAATCTTGGATCTCGGGGTCAAACAACCCATTTGGAAACTGGGTATGTGAAGCAGCAAGAGGCAAAGTACAGACGGGCAGAGGCTCTCGGGGTTGCCGGGGCCACTTGTAAATGTTCGAAAAAGGTATGAAAAGGTATCATAAGAAGACTGTATCTTCTTTCCTTGAACATGGGTTTTCCTGAAACTGAAGGTAGGCTAATGAGGTCTGGAGGGTGCATGTCAGGACAGAGGGCAGACCAGCATTATTGCAGGAAGCTCTGGGGGCCAGTCTTGGTGGACAGGTAGGGATGGCAGAGTTGGATTCACGAGCCACAGACAAGTCTACGAGCCAGCCGCTGATGAGTGGATGAGATGCCACTTCTACCACCAAAGGTCACTGATCTTCCTGCACGGGATCTGGGGAGTTGGGGGGTATCTCTGTGCCTGGCTGTTGGAAGGCACCTGGCGCTGCTGGAGCTGGGTCCTCTATCTCCTGCAAGCTCTTAGACACAATTCTCAAGTCATCCCTGCCATCTGTATCCAGGAACTCTTGAGATGGTCCCCACCCTGCCACTTCTTAGGGACTGTTTGCCTCCCTAGATCTCTAATATGCACTGTCTCACTCTGTCCTGAGTCTAGACAATGTGGGAGGCATTCAAAGAGTGGGTGTGACGGCAGCCTGACCATGGGCTGTCCCAAATCTCAGAGCTACTTGGTAAATTAGGAGCCAGTCTCATTAAAAGGCCTTAGTGTTTTGAGTTAGAGCAGGAAGTTGAATGTCATGGGCAAGACTTGTTTAAGATGAATTCTGCAGGTGGATGACCGGGAACCTCCCTCTCCCATCAGGAGGCAGCAGCCTCCTCCCTGCCTTAGCAGTCCTCCCTCCTAAGGCAGACAGGCAGTCATGCTCCTCACAAGAAAGAGTGCTTTCAGAAAGAAAAGCTTCCACTGGGGTTGGTCACTGCTTGTGAAAGGCCAAATGCAGGACAATCGTGATTGGCTTGCTAGAAACTTCCTCCTTTGTCCTGAAGCAGTTAATCACCAGGCTGGTCACAGTGGCAGGTACGACAGGTTGGCAGGCATCCAGCCATTCTGGGATCTGGGAGGTCTTGGCATTAAGACCATCTTGCAGCTGAAGATTTCATGACATGGGAAAATGGTCCCAAACTACTAAATGGGAAGAGAGGCTGTAAAACACTGTGTAGAGCAGGATCCCGATTTGGAAATACACCTAAGACAGCCTTGGAAGGATAATAACAAGGTCTTGTGATGACAGGTCTTGTTATTTTGTTCTTTCTGTTTACTTGAATTTTCTATTTTTTTCTACAACAAAAATACATGGCGTTTACTATAGGATTTTAAAGAAATTAGTTTTCTCTGTTAAAAGAGGGAAATGGCCAATATCTGAGCACAGCTTTAAGAATAAGTCAAATTCCTTCCCTGTCCTGGACACCACCCAAATGTAGTAACTCTTCACTCAAGATGTTTAATTATGCAAACTGTGTTGCTACCCTTTTCCTTTTATAAGAAAGGGCAAAAAGCCAGAAAAGCTGTGAATGTTGCCGCTTTAGCAAAAAGTGGAGAGTGTTTTATTTGAAGCCAGCTTCTGGGGCTTGTCCTGGGCTCACTACAGTCAGCCTGATTGGTCAGGCCCCGCCCTTGGTACAGGTTCTGGCACTGCCCATGCACCACGGCAGGGCTCTGCTGCCCCGAGAATGAGAACGCCCCTGCCAGCTCACAGGGGAGGCAGCAGAGAGGTTTTAGAGACAAAGATCATCCTTCCTAGGAGAGTTTGTGGTAACCAAGGCTGATGTCAAATGGCCTCTTGGTCTACTAGAAAGTTCAGTCTACCCCTACTTTGTCTTCTGGTCTTTCCAGGTAGCCAGTTTGGGACCAGATAAAAAGCAACGAGGAAGAAAAAGCACAGGAGGAAGAGGAGGCCTGCGAGGATACAGGGAGCTGGTCATCGACCCGTCCAGCAGCACTGCGGAGTGGTCTTCACAGAGCCCGGCACCATCAGTGCAAAGGTGGGGATGGCTGCAGCAGCCCTGCCTGGGAAGTGAGGGCGTCCTCTGGCACTTAGGATGCAGTGGGGGTGGGGGTGGGGGATGGTCTGCAGAAGGCATGACTCACCCCAGCTGAGAAAGCAAGCCGGCATCCTGGAGGAGGAGACTTCTACAGCCTGGGTGACAAAGAACTGGTGAAGCCAAGAACAAGCAGGGAAGGAGCAAAAAGAGGATGTCAGGCAGAGGGACCAGCCTGAGCAAAGACCTAGGGGCAAGAGAGAGGGCGGGAGGTTCAGAACAGTGGTGAGGGATGAGGCCAGAGAAGGCAGTGTGAAGGCTTTCTATCTACACGGTGATGGGGAGCCAAGTACGGCGTGTGAGCATGGGAGTCAGATTTCTGTCTCTAGAAGGGTCCTCAGGCTACCGTGATCTTTCTGCAATGCGAAAGAAAAAGAAAGAGGGTATGGGAGGCAAGAAATGGTGGCAGAGACCTATCCTCTAGGGCTCTGGGAGCCTGTGGGTGGCTCTGAGTCAGGCTCTCAGTTCAGTAGGGAGGTGGAGAGACGGCCCCCTGCAGGTTTACTGGTTGTAGTCCTCACCTATGAGCCTGGGTCACTGCATCTGCACAGTGAAGGTAAAAGCCCTTCTCTGCAAGGGGTGTTGAAGCTGCTTGGTGGGAAGATGGATAGGTGAGCTGTCTGGAAACAGGCACAATTCTGTGCCAGACTCTGTCCCTAGGGACTCAGCACACTACAGTCACTGGTGGGCATTTCTGAACTGCTGTTTGATGATGAGAAGGATGGCCCCGGCCTACCACAGATTAGATACATGACAAATGACAGGACATTTCAGAAGGTCACAACATTCTCATGACAAAGAAAGAGTTTCAAGTTTCCAGGAGGCACAATTGGCCAGGATGGAAGCACACTGACCTGGCACTCATGGGCTCGTCACGGCGTGGTCCCCGCGGATAGCCTGCAGTGACAGCTCGTACCCAAGGAACATGGCCGCGCTCATGGGGAAGCCCCGCACCGCGTTCACAGTGATGCCTCTGAAAAACACCTTTGGACAGGGGCCCGGTTATTGCAGGGGACTGACCCACACCCTCTGCAGGGCCACCGAGGAGTGGTAGAGAATGGCTCGTGGTGGGCCACTCCATCACCTGGCACACCCAGGTCCCGTTCCCGGACAGAGCCCAAAGGACCTGTGTAGGCAGAAACCACACAGGGAAGTTCCAGTCACGCCCTGCCCTGAACCATGTCATGTCTGATAGTGCTTTTCCTCCCAGACCCTGATACACATGCACTAAACACTACAGGCAAGCTGTTGGGCCTGGCAAACACCTACATATGCTTTTAAAATTGCCCCTTCTCTCTTCTTCTCTCACATGTATATACACACACACACACACACACACACATACACACACACAGACGCATACACATGATCCTCGGGAATCTGGAAGCCCTAAGTAGACAGAACACCCAGCCATGCCCATTCACTGTGGCAGGGCTTCACAGGACACCCCCAAAGTGGTAGAGAACAGAAGTCGAGCTGTGCCTAAGACTCTGCAGACATGGGCTGAGGCACAGCTTTCCCGCTGAGTAGCTATGTTACTTGGGCCAATGGTAAACTCTCTGGAACTCAATTTTCCCAACTGTAAGAGGGGGTTAATAACAGAATTGACCTGATAAGGGTGTTAGAAGGACTAAATGAGGTGAGGCTTTTCCAGCACTTGCACGGTGCCTGGCATACAGTAGAAGCATGCCTCAACTGCTGATTACCATCATCACCCTCCTTGTTCTTATCAATGGTCTATCAGCTAAGAGGGAGTAGGACTCAATCTCAATCTCCATCACTAGGATGCATGCTCAGGAAGAGTGGCCTGTGCTGATGAGCTGGTAACTCTGCCTTTGCTGCTCCATGACACCTATGTTTGTCTTCCATCTCTAGGGAGTATTATGTGATGCTTCCCAAACACTGCCCATGATCTTTTTCTCCTGCCTCAAGCTTCTTGCATGGTATTGGGTGTCAGCTCCTAAATGTGATGTGGTTCCAATCCTCAAGCAGTTATAATCTATTATAACTGGAGATAAGCCCCATCCAGGAACAATCATGTGACCCAGAAAATGATGAGAGCAGATAAGAAGCTTTGGCGAGGGGGACGGTGCGGAGGAGCTGGCCTTTAATGCATCCTCTGGAAAAAACAACCATCTAAAAGCAAGTCCCCACACAAATGTAAGTGACTTGAGAACTGTCAGGCACAAATCGAAACCTACTCTCTACTTCGTGTATGATTTTCTCAGTTTGAGAAACAGAACTGGTCATTTTTAAAAAGTAGAAACCATCTCTTTACACTTCCCCAGTTTCCTCAGTCTCTGGGCACTGTGGTGTCACAGTTGGTGCAAGCCTCTGTCACTGGCTCCGACATCAGGTGACTTTCCTTCAGGAGAGGTGCCTGCACCTCACAGCAGCCCCCAGGGTGCAGCATGGGGCCCTGGGAAAGGAGCTGATGGACAAGGATTCCTAGGGAGGAGTAAATGGCTCAGCCAAGCCCTCGAGCCGTTCAGCCAGGTGCAAGCAAGATCCTGGTAACATCAGCACTCTTCTCTAACGTCTGACCTTTCTGAAATTCCACAGGCTCATCCACAGTGACTGAATAACAGCCAGCAACTGGGTCAAACCCTGAGAGGAAAATTCCATGCCCAGTGCCCACAGAGGCTCCCCTGTGTGTCTGGGCTTGGCTCTGATATGCAAGGTGGAGGCAGGCAGGACCCAGCTTGGAGTGAGAGCCTTCTGTCCCACAGCACCGGGCCGTGCAGGAGCTGTGGGTCACTTCAGGCATGCAGACAGTCCTTCCTCCAGCAGCTGTGGCCTGCTCTGCTGCAGAGCCCACAGAAGACAAAGTGCAGACCTGCCAGCTTTTACCCAGAGCTTCCAGAGCATACGGCCTCCAGACTGAGCCCCTCTTAACTCCCACCCCACAAAGCCTCAATGGCTCCCTATGGCCTAAGGTCAGGTCCACACCCTTCCCTGGCTTGCAAGGACCCACATTCTCTCCCTTCCACTTTCTCTGTGCAACCTCTCACACCTGACATTCTGGGCAGGTTAACAGCCTGTCATTCCTCTGAGGGGCCAGCCTTCTTCCTCCACTGAGCCTCTTCTGGTCCCCTCTGCCTGGAGTGCTTCCCAGGCCTGGCTTGCAGCCTGGCAGTGTCCCCATGGTCACCTCCATGTGGATGATGGCCCCTCATCTTCTGTGTACTCAGTATCTCCCCATTACAGCACTCCTCACACTGTTCTTCAAGTGTCCCCGACTAATCTTTCAGGAAGGACAGACAACAGGGGTGAGGGTGGGGTTAGCTATCACAGTCAGGGCAGTGAATGCAGGGCTGTGTGTGTGATATGCCTCTGAAGCCCCAGCACCTGCAAGCACTTAGCCCAGAGTAGACCTTTCATAAACACATTAAGTGAAATGGATGGATGGAGTAAATGAATGAATGAATGAATGAATGAACTTTTGGGCATGAAAGAGCCTCTGAACTGAAAGAGTCCTGGTGGCTGCAATTGGGGTGTTCCTAGAGTGGTAGGAAGGCTCTGATTCCCCAGGGGCGGTACCCCAAGGCAGCTGGCCCTGGTGTCTCCAGAAGCTGGCTACCTACAAATGCCCTCTTCTCCAGCCTCATCTCACTGGCTCCTAGAGTGGTAGGAAGGCTCTGATTCCCCAGGGGCAGTACCCCAAGGCAGCTGGCCCTGGTGTCTCCAGAAGCTGGCTACCTACAAATGCCCTTTCATCCAGCCTCATCTCACTGCCACAGCCCCTCCACAGCAGCTGCTTCCACGGAGCCAAGAATACCAAGGTGCTTCACCTGCCTCGGTATTTCAGATGACAACTCTCCAACTCAGAGCTATGGCCCATGTAGCCCAAGACAACCATCACAGCAGGCAGAGAATGGCTCCAAAACTACCAGGCTTTTCTTCTGTTTCTACTTGGGGATGCCCCAACCAGTCCATGGACTTTTGATTTTCCCCGCCACAAAGGCTGCACCACCGATCATCCCTAAGTGGGCTACAAAGAACTATTCAAATTGGTCACCATCATCATGATTAATGCCTTTCTAATTCTTTACTGTTACCAACTTCTCCTTCCCTAGGAAGGTAAGAACAGGTTGGATGATGATGGGTTTGGGGCTTTGCGATCCGCCTCTGCCAGCCACAGCCAGGAATGCTTGGGGAGGAATGCTCCACATGGCCAGAGTCCAGGCCAGCTGGGACCTGGAGGCATCCCTGGGGCACTGGGGGAAGCCTCTCTACCTCCTCCTCCTGTAGCTGCTAGAGAACTGCCTTTGAATGGCCGGGCATGGTGGCTTACGCCTATAATCCCAGCAATTTGGAAGGCCGAAGTGTGGGGATCACAAGGTCAGGAGATTGAGATCATCTGGCCAACAAGGTGAAACCCTATCTCTACTAAAAATACAAAAATTAGCTGGGTGTGGTGGTGTGTGCTTGTAATCCCAGCAACTCAGGAGGCTGAGGCAGGAGAATCATTTGAACCTGGGAGGCGGAGGTTGCAGTGAGCCAAGATCATGCTACTGCACTCCAGCCTGGTGACAGAGCTAGACTCTGTCTCAAAAAAAAAATGCCTTTGAGACAACCTGATTGTTCTAGATGGTGTGGTTATGTTTATGTTACTATTTATGTTCATAAGTAAACACATATATAAGCATACATAGATATATACATGCACATATATTCTTGTATACACTGTAAATATTTTTGGAATGTATCACAAGAAACTTTACCGTAATTGCCTTTCAGCGAGGACAGGGACTGCAGGGCACAGAGACAGTATATCCTCATGTACTTTTGGAAGCTTCCTATGTTCATATGTTACCTATTTTTAACCACTGAATACAAATTTTAAAAAATTAACCTTGAACGGTCTGATCATGCCGTGGTTACTCAAGCTGAGTATTATTATCTTGACTGAAAATCTGTCTCTGATCCAACACTACAGACCAAATACTATTGAGACAAAGAAACCAGTCGTCTGAACTCAGCTGACTTCCAGGACTTCATTTTTCTTCAGAGAGCACAGTTACTTTCCGAAGAAATAATGTCAGCAATATATTTTGCCTCTACAGGCTTTTTAAGAATTATGACACATTCATATTTGGGGAAGCAGGCAAAAATATCTCAAATAAAAATGAACCATCTATTTGAAACACTTTTATACCTCTCTGCACTCATTGGCTAAATCAAAAACTGCACTTCTGCTGAAAACAAAACAAAAGATACAAAAGACGATTGAGGCTGCACCAGGGCTGGGCCTCACCCTTCTGTCAGAGCAGCTCTTGTTAAAAATTTTAAAAAGGAATTTAAAACAATGAGAATAGCGAAGCTCTGAGTTTATCCATCCTTAACACCTAAAGACAGAAATCAAGTTTCCTCCATATCACATCTTCTCATACTAACCAGAGTCCCGGGATCCAGCCTTTCCCCACTTGCTATGATATCCTGCTCTTCATTCCTGGGCACCACCAGGGTCTTGCTTAATGGGCAGTGACCAAAGGTGGACGCAACATTCCAGCTGTAATATGGTCAGGGCAGAGACTTCCACCTCCCTTATCCTACCCACTATACTTCTATGAATGCAGCCTTGGGACAGGTCTCACTGTTGGCTCACTGCCACATTAGCTAATCAGAGCATGGGCTTTTTCTTTTTTGTTTATTGCTCTGTCCCCGGCTCCTAGAACTGTGCCTACCACATATGAGGTTCTCTAAAAATAAGCATTTGAAAACCGAAGCCCCTAGGCACTTTTCTCTAGGAGCCTTCATCAAATCAGATCGCCCCATCTTCTAAAGAGGTGATTGATCCATTATTGAATACTAAGGGCTGGACTTTGCAGTGACTTCTGGTAGTTCTGTACTTTAGATGTGGCCCTTTGATCTACCTTTTGCATCCTGTCCCTCTCACGTGGCATGTTAGTCATTCACCTCAACATTGGGTCATCCCAACTCTGGATCTTTCCCAAGTTGGGGGAGGGTGTAAAACAGGACCTCAGGAAACTTGCTGTAAGAAACAGAGAAGGAGGTATAGAAAGAGCTGTCTCCCATGGTGGTGTGTGAGGCGCCTTGAGAGAGGTACAGGAGAAGCAAGACAATGACATGGGTTCTGGGGATGGTGGTGGACTGCGCTGGGCCTGTAAAGAGGGGGCAGATTCATCTGGCAGGGCCTGGGGTGGGGCAGCCATGTGAGAAAAGACTCAGAGCTCCAGGGTAACACTGGCGCCAATAAACCAATACTGAGAATACTAAGGCCAGTGAGAAAGGGTTAACTCTTCCCTATGGGTTACATACTGAACGGAGAGCTTTCTGTATTAGCCCACAAATGCCCTGCCCCTCATGGAAGGGATGATCATTCTGGGAGAACCTGAGGCCCTGAGACATGAAGCCACTTGCTTGGATTCTGCCAGCTCACAGTAGCGACATCTGACTTTGAACCCACATCTGCTGACTCTGAGAGCCACACCAAGAAAGCAAGGAGCCCATGCAAGAAAGAGCCAGCAGGATGGTTTCTCCGGAGGGGGAGGAATCTGTTTATAACCTTGGACACCAGACATGCAAGTCTGGTCTGTCCGGGGGTAGCACCTTTTCAGGTGGTGGGAAGGGGTGTGTATTAGGTTAAGCTTTCGAGCTGCAGGAAGAACAGAGGAGACAAAGCCCAGGGAAGTGGGTCAGAGGCCGCCTCGTCGGCCGAGGCCAGAGGTCTGGGGTTGGGGCTCAGGTGGGAGAGCAGAAGACAGTCCACAGGGCCTGGAGCTGGTAAGATGAGCTGGCTGAGGACAGGAAGGAGGCAAGGTGGCTCTGGTACTTCCCATGGGGTGGCGGGGTAGGGAAGGCACTGAGCTGTGAGGAAGGACTGCCCAGCCTATCTTGAGAAGGCAAATTGTGGTGACAGACAGACATGGACCAGGCTCCACCATGGACCAGCTGTGTGGCTGGGGGCAGCTTACCAGCCCTCTCTGAGCTCTGTCAGGTCGGCCATGCACCTGCCTCCTCCACGGGCCATGTGAAAAGACCGCCCCGGTGAAGTGCTTGACGAAGAACCCGCTTGTGGCGCCTGATATATAATCACCACCAGCCCCTGGGTCTCCCGATTTCCTTCTCTATGGTCCCACATCCCCCTAAATGTGTGAGCCACCTTCCAGGGACAGACACTGACCCCGCAGGCCTGCTGTGGGCTTACTTTAAGACCTTCCTTCTGGTAACTCTGGGAGATACAGTCCAGGACACCTTTATATTTGTTTAAATAAACCCCATCAGCTTGAAGTCGACTTTTCACAACATCCATAGGAGTCGCTGTCCCCCAAGAAATTGCTCCTGCAAAGAGAAAGAAACAGGTGTCAGGGGCTGGCTCCTTAGGATCTGGAGGGGCTTGCAAATGGTAGAAATTCCTTGCAAGTTTCTACCATTCAGAGACTTACTAAGCTGGGAGAAGGGACAGAGCTCAGGCTTAGAACCTGCAAAATCTGTTTCTGATTCACCCTCGCCACTCGCTGTGGGACTTGGCAGAAGTGTCTCCCCTCCTCTAAGCCTTGGGCTTCTCATCTGTAAAATCAGGCAGCAGCACCTCTCTTTGTGGGGCTATCCTGAGGACCAAATGAATGGACGAGCGTGAAGCATGGAGCACAGTGCCAGTCCACAGCCAGTGCTCGAGACGTGGCAGTCTTTATTAGCAGCTTTCATTGGGGAAAGAGTAAGAGGCTCCACAGGTACTTGGCAGCACCTTCTCAGGGCACCAGAAGAGAGTCCAGGGCAAGGCATGAGGCTGAAAGTTTGCAGCTCCCTGAAGGCAGAACTTACTCTAAGCAAACACACGCAGACAGGCTGCTCACCAAGGAAGGGCCAGTCTGGGGATTGCAAAAACAGAGCAGGGAATGGTTTTTGAAGGCTTGGGACCATGTGCCCCTAGGTCGTCCTCATGGGATACGCTCAGGTAAACTCCAGAAAAACAATGTCGGGTTATTATATAAACACAGCAATTGGCACATTCTTAGATGGGGAGAGAAAAACAAATGGATGTTAAAGTCCAGGGCAACTGGTTTGCAGGGTTTAGTGATTGCTGCCCAGTAGCTTCCAAAGGAGACCTTAGACTTCCCTGGGCCCTCTGCCTATCCCAGCCTCTGGTCCCCTCGGCCTCCTGCCCTTGGTCCTCCAGGAGCCTCTCCGACCTGTGCCTTCTGCCAGGACAATGGGGCCACTTCCCTGGGTGCTGCTCCAGTATACTCCCTCGTCCCTCAGCCCATGGGTAAGGGCATCACAAAATGCAATCTGCCTGCCAGGCCATTCACACCTGCTCTCCCCAGAAGTGAGAGCAAATGGGGACTTGCTGTCCTCTCTGCCAGTCAATACTGACAGAACTCTTCCTAGGAGCTGGGGATGAGCACGGGCATCAGGGAGCCAGAAGGGGAAACTGCAGTTAGGTGGCAAAGACACGAGCTTTGATATGAGTTTGCTATGGGCTGACAGCATGGCGAATTGTGATGATGAGGAGGAGAAAGAGAGGGAGGAGGAGGAGGAGGAGGAGGAAGAGGGGGGGATTCATGATTTTCTCTCCATTAGATCGTTCCCATCGCATCAAACATGCTATGATATCAGCCTTCTTAAACAGCGTCTTCTCTTGGCTTCCATAGGCCCCTCTGGCTATAGCTCTGTTTCTCTGTTCCTCATTACAGCATAGCAGAACCCTCAGAAATGTTGTGTATATTTGGGCACACTAATATCCTTCATCCCATTCTCTCTTGATCCCACTCCATCAGGTTTTTACAATTTTCTCTCCATCAAATGGCCCTTGCCAAAGTCCCCAGTGGCCTTCACATTGCTAAATTCAGACGGTGCAAGCAGCAGGTACAAGGACCCTGTGGTTGGGGAAGGGCCAGGCATGGTCAAGTTGCAGCAGAGATCAGTGTGGCTGGAGAGAGTGGGGAAGGGGAGAGGAGTGGAAGTGAGGTGGGTGAGAAACAGGCAGCCAAGTCACGGAGGGCCTGGAAAACCATTGCAAAGATGTCAACTTTCACCTTAAATGGAAGAGGGATGTGGTGCAGGATTCTGAGCAGGGAAGTTAAGCAACCAGTCCATGGTCACAAAATGATGAAGTGTGGATTTGAACTTAAAGCTTTCTGGCTGCAGAGTCCCTGATATACTGTCAGCACCAGCTGTACGACGTGGGATTGGCTACTTAACACCTCTGGACCTGAGTTTTCTCATCTGTGAAATGGGGAGACTAATTCCTACCTTGCAGAACGAATGACTTCCTTACATTACAAAGATTGCAGCATGCCAGCATTCAATACACTGAACCATGATCATGGATTTCCTTTCCAAAGTTTGGTAATGCCTGACACAGAGTATGTGTTCAAAATGTATCTCTTGCCTGAAAGTCAAACGAGCTCAAATGGGAACCGCCATTCTCATAGCTACATGGGGAGGGGAGGAGAATGAGGTGGAAAGCCTGGGACAGAGTAGATGCCTAGCAAAGAACTGTTGGGTGAGTCCCTGAATGTGCCCTCCCCTCCCCCTGGGCTAAAAAGGGCATGGCCAGCTCCCCAGCTGTCCCACTGCAGTGGCCGGCACAGGGGTGCGGCTCCAGCTGCTGCTGCCCTTACCTGCCACACCACCTGCCAGCCACACGGCACAGGGGCTGGGGCCTGCACAGGGCTCGGGTGTGATCCACTCACTCAGGAACACGTAGGGGATGAAGTAGAGGCAATAGCCCGGGACATCCCTCAGCAGCATGGCACTGGCCCCCCGGTACAGCCCCGCCAGGCCCTCATTCCTCACAATGGTTGCAATGCAGTGCACAGGCCCCTGGTACACTGGCTGCTCCCCAAGAGCCACCGCCCTGGACTTCAAACCGAGGTTGGCTGCAAAGACAGGAGAGAGAAGATGGCAAGGAGTAAGCGACTGGACATTCCCTGGCACTGGAGCCAGCCCAGCCCTCTTACAGTTCCCTCTCATGTAGCCCATTGGCTTTCACCAAATCTTCTGACCTTCTTGGCAGCTGAAACCAGGATACTGAGGTCCCAAGAAGAGCTTCTGCCAACATACACAACCAGACTGGGGACAATTTCAGTCACGTGATAAAGCCCCAGTTACTTGAGGCCAACATCACTACTTCTTTCTAAGCAGATGTGACTACAGAATGCCAAGAATCAGTTATGACACGCACACCAAATTCTTTTTTGAAGCTAGAAAATCCAACATGCTCTGTGTGTGTGTGTGTGTGTGTGTGTGTGTGTGTGTGTGTGTCTGTGTCTGTGTACACACTTATTTATGCACAGTGTGGTGGGGCAAAAATATATATGAAATTTGGAGCCAGGCTGTCCTGGCTGCAAATTCTAGCTCTACCACTTATTAAAAATAATTTATAAATTATGTATAAAATTTAAAATCTATAATTTAATATTTATAATTTTATTAAAATTATTTGGAAATAATTCGAAATTTAACTTGGCAGGTCAGCATTTTCAGCCCATTTTCTTAACGTTAAAAGATGGATAGATTGTCCTGAGTGCAAACAAAGTAACACATGTGCAGTGTTCAGCACTGTGCCTTGAACGTTGTAGGGGGCTCAATAAATTATCAACTGAGACCAAGGTTGCTGACGTGAACTGGTGGCAGGACCCACAGGCTGGAGGGCTGGGTATATTCTCACTGACTCACTCCAGCCCTGGCCAGGCTGTTCCCTAAACAGTTGTAGGGTAGCACCGGGGCTCTTGGCCCCTCAAAGTCCTGGGACCCAGGGCTGCTATCTTCCTGTCTAACCTCAAGGGTCTATGCTGGCAGATCAGGTGTTATTTACGTCTCCAGCAGAGACTCTACGTCTCTCTCATTTGCCACCCATCTCCCTCTCTGATGCTTGTCTTCTCTGCTATGGATCCTTCTCTGCTCTGAGGCTTTGACTCATGGCCACACAGACCTTTCAGACCCAGTGCAGATAAAGTAGGCTCTTGTTCTTGACTTTCCCTTCTCCAGGAAGTAACACAACATGACATGACCAGGAAAGAAGAGAATGAAGTGTGTCTGTGACCACAAGCCTATTTTGCCACCTGAGTTTAATTCCCTGTACAGTGTTCCAGTTTGGCTTTACGCATGCTGGCAAACAGGCAGATAGCTTTCATTATTTAGGTCAACATCCAAGTCCCCTCAAACAGTCTATCTTTATCAGAGGAAAAGCTAGGAGCATTCAGCTTCATGACCCCACAGTCCAGAGATTGGAGAATGAAGTGCAATCTGTACTTTAACTCATCCCAGAAGCAGGTGAGGTGGAGGGGGAGATTTCTGGGTGCCTGGAAAATATGCTTGAACAAAGTCAAGTTGTATTTTCTATCTGTGAGTGGGGAAGGAAGTAAATTCCTGCTATCTGCATTAGGCCAACTTTAGTGTGGGCAGGAGATGGAGCAGACTTCTTCCACAGTGGATCCCTTAGGAAGTGAGCTAAGGTGGTGGCCACCTTGAGGGGTAAGATCAGACATGATGGCCTTTGAAAGTGCACTGAGAGATCACTAGGCACCCCTTCCTCTTCCAAACCCATGGTGCTACTGCCTGGGTCATCTGGAGAAATTTTGCCATTAGGCAGAATACATGTCATTGTCCCAATGCATAAACTTTACCTGAATTGCTTTCATCTCTGAGTAACACTGACTTGATCCAGGAGTCAAGGTTTTTATGAATCAACTATGGGTAAATAGTGGCTTTCAGGAGTTACTGATTGAAAGAGAGGATCGTGATAACAATCTGCTTGTTTGAAAGTGCAGATGTTGGGAAAACACTCACCAAACCCCCAACCGGCCTTGTCAACAAAAATCCTGTCCTGTTTTCCTTTCCTCTGCAGAATAAGCAATAAGGAAATTCTCTCTCATCCTCCCAGGGTTGCCACATAAGCAATCTAGCTTTTATTGCTTTGGAATTACCCATTTATGACTTTTAGTGCAGCATAATTACCACAGTGACTCCCATCATGAGGATACTGACACAGCTCCAAACTGACCCAAGTTTATACTGTGAAGCTCTTGGAATTCTACCTCCTTCATTCCCAATTTTTTTTTTTTGAAAACACTTTTTATTTCAAGATAATTCCAAACTTGCAAAATAAGTATAACAGGCAAAATAGTATAAAGAATGTGGCCCAAATGTACCACTTACTCAGATGTATCTATTGCTAACCTTTTGCTCATTTGCTTGTTGTTTGTGCATTCTCTCTCCCACTCTCTTCACTTCCCTCCCTTCTCACTCAGTCCTGTGTGTTCAATTCAACTGAATCAATGTACTTGTCCCAGTGTTTCAACTTTGCCTGAGCCCCATTCATTTCCAGGTAACAGTGACCTGACCAGGAATCAAGGTTTTCATGAATCAGCTATGGGTATCATGTGGCTTTCAGGAGTTACTGACTGAAGGAGGGGATCCTGCTGGCAATGGGTTTGTCTGGAGGTGCAGCTATTGGAAAAACACCTGTCAAACCTTTAACTGACTTTGGCAATAAGACTCAAGCAAGAACCAAACCTATCCTTTTTCTTCTTTTCTTCCCAAGGTAAACAACAGAGAATTTGTGTGTGTGGGTGTATACATATACATGCATTTTTACACATTCATACATAACTTTATTTTCTAAACTATTTCTGGGTGAGTTACATATTCATGGGTCTTTACCACTAAATTTGTTAAAACACATTTCCTAAGAATGGGGATACTGTCTTACATAGCTGTAGCACAGTTACCAGCTTCATATAGCTACACTGACAATGCTTTAATATACTATCTATAATCAAATTGTCATTTGATCTTCATGATGCCCTTTACAGCATTTACCCTTGGCAAACTTTCTTTGTTTCTGTGACACTGACATTTTTTAAGAGTATATGACCCCTTTGCTTGTTAATAGAGCTTTCCTGATTTGGGGTTTGTCTGACATTTCCTTATTACATTGTGGTCATGCATTCTTGGCTGGACCTCCTCCCCATTCTTAATTCTCACTCTCAAGAGACCCTGTTCTCCTCCTCTGGCCTCTTATTCTTGTTTTTATCAGTTTGTTTTTTAATTGAGCTATACTTTGCATTCAATAAAAGGTAAAGCTCTCAAGTGCACGATTGATGAGGTTTTACAGTTGCATTCACCTATGTCACCATACTCTACAGTGGAAGTGACTTCTTATACTTGAAATAAACTGTTTTGTTCACAGCCCAGTTAGAGAGAGAAGAGATTCCACAGCCTATCTATCCTCTCCTGATTTTCGAGATACAAGAACTCTGTGATATCATGCGATGTCACTCATAGGGAAGCAACCTTTCTCTGGGGCACTGGTTGTAACTTACAAGTCCATCAGCACTCGCACTAGCAATGGCGGGATGGATGATTCCTATTGGGTCCACAGAACAGAATGTCATCAAAGGTAGTTACTAGAATTTTAAACATAAATATACCTGAGATAAAAATGCATCATACCACCTCCACTGGTGAGGCCCAAAGTCACACAAACCTAACATGATGATGCACTTACAGTAATATCGATTTTCAATTCAACAGCAATAGTAGGAGCTGTGGAAAACTATGAACAAAGCAAGATAGCCCTGCTGATGAATAAACAGAAGATCCTTCTGGAAAACAGCAGAAATCTCTACCAGTGGCCCATGCAGTGCTAGGTGCTGTCTCTAGCTGTGGGGGTGGTGGAGCCAAGGGTTGTCTGGAGCCTTGACAGGCAGCCTCAGGAAAATGCTGCAACAGAGTTCTTGGTAACTACATCAGGGGACCAATTTTAGTTTGTGAAAACCAAATGTTGATGACTCTTAAAAGCTGATTTGGAAAGTTACTAGAAAGTCAATCTTGGAAATATGCACAACTGAGATCTGTGAACTTGTATGTCCTTTGTCCAAGGAACCTGAGGAAGGCTACGAGGTGCTGGATCAGGACTCAGCATCTACTCACAGGGAACCGCTGGCTCCAAGCCCATGGTCCCTGCACCTTCAGGGTGTACATGTGTATGTGAAAGGATTGGCATTAGGTATATTTTCTTCTCAAGTGAAATGTGCCTAATTTCTCTAATTAGAATGTTTTATTCTGTAACGAGGATAAAAACATTAATCAGATTTGGATGTTTTTAAATCATGAGTGCTTTGCATTTGAGACTGTCTTGTGCTGCCTGTTTAGATCAAGGGCATACTATCTTTTATTAGGATAGATATGGATTATGTACTTCAAAAACTCAGGATGCATGTGCTTTCCTTTGTTTTCCCAATTTCTATTAAGGCCATGTCAGGCCCCCTGCACCTGTGTAACCAAGGCTAGCAAGATGTTCAAAGTCAATGAAAATAGCAATCCCCTGTCCCAAGAAGTGGAGGAGGGCCCGGGCCTCCCACCTTGCCCAGCTCAGTCCTGGCCAGCACACCTAAACCCACAGGCTGTGGCTATCTAGCTCTGCAGCTCTCCGTGAAATGCTAGTGCCTCGCTGCTGGCCTCCTGCTTGGCCTGGGAGGTCCCTTAGAAGGTAGATGCCTCTGCAGGGAGTTTGATTTTGGGGGGGATTGTAGGTCCAGATTTGGGCAATCCTAACAGGTACCAACGCAGCCACCTCTTAGGGGACATTCAGCTTCAAAAGGGCTGAGCTGGGCTGGACACAGACTGGAGACACCAGTTGCCACTATTGCCCCTCTTCCAGAACCCAGGGACCCAGCTACAGGACGTCACTGTGCCTTCCTCAGACACAGACACAAAGATGTTCCACTTCTTCCCCTTTCTCAGTCAATGCTATTCAATGTCTTCAATGGGTCACGAACCTGGAAACAGTAAGGCCAGCAGAACACAACGGCTGGTCACTGAGGGGAGCAGGGCTGGCCCTCAGGAGCACAAAGCCTGGCCACTCTCTGGAAGG